GCTGCATGCAGACTTAATCTTATTAAATATTGATATGGAATCACAGAGTGGGGTCAGATTACTGCTGCTGTGACCTCCAAGTGTTCTCCATCACATGGTTTGGTGGTCGATAGCTTCAGGGCACGTGCAGTAAATCTTTGTGTATTTCATGGCGGAATATTCGATAGTGTTTGTAAACAGTGTACCGGGAGACACATTGTTGTTGTTTTATACTGGTGTCGTCTTTTAATATAAAAAAAGTCTCACATTGGGAACAAGAATATTGATTGTTCACTTTGAGACGGACAAACCCTAGCAGACTCCTGATCTCCGTAGAACAGGCTAATGTGGAATGCTGCCCTCCTGTGGGTAGATGAAGGTCTTAGCACCTGATGACATGTGGTGCTGTACACCTCCATCAGTGTCTTGATAAAATATTATTTACTCCAGTACATAAAACAAACTCTTAAAATCTTCCAATACAGAGACAAAACAAAGACAGGGGGCGACGTTACGGCAGATTTTGGTGCTCACTCGTTTTGGTTCCAAACAGAGCTCTGTGCAGATGTATCTCTAATGAACCAGTTAACCAGTGGGAGATGCCACCCAGAGCTGTGGCTAAGATCAGACATAAGACGACAGTTGGGTAAAAAAGAACATCAGCCATAAAAACTGTTATTCAGATAACTGGCTGTGGTCACTCCCTCCCACTAATTACAACTCAAACTCCACAGATTGATGTAAAGTACTTGTAAAAACAGCGATAGTCTGGGTCTGATTTCTGTTCATGGTCATCTTGTTTTTTCCTCATTGCCAAGGAAACAAGGAAGGAAAGTGAACTACTTGTCATTAGGACTCAAGTTCTCAAGGACTCAAGGTCTCAAGGACTCAAGGGTCTTTATTGTCATTGCAACATGTTAGACACGGGATGAACGGAAATTAGTTTCCTTGGTCTTGGATCAAGCCTGGATTGTGACACAATCCACTGCACTCAACCAAATGTGACCCTCTGCTTTCAACCCATCACCAAAGTGAACAGCAGTGTGTGGGGACGGTGCCTCGCTCAGAGTAACTTGGCAGCTGGTGAACTCGAACCTGAAACCTTCCAGACCCATGTCCGCTTCCTTATCCACCACGCCACCATCCACTGATCGAAATGCGTCCAGTACAGTCATCATAAGTCGTGAGTGCAGATGTGGTTTTTAACTTTTGAAGCAGGAGAACAGATTTATTTGAGGGAGGACGGAGCCAGAACCCTCTCTGGCACCCTACCCCTGTTCTCCACTCGGTTCTGAGCTATGTGTACTGCATCCAAGATAGGCTGCTGCCAAAACACTGAATTGCAACACAGCCGCTGCTTTCTCCTGGCAAGAGAGGGGGGAAAAAACATTATTTTTTCCTTATGTTTTTGTAGGAATCTGACTGCTATTTGTGTGTGTGATTGTGAACCCCCTTCTAGAATCTACCAGATTATTTTCCTTGCGTTTCATTTTTTATCGCTTCATTGATCCTAGCTTTAAAAAAAGACCTTGATTTCAAATCCAGAAAATGGATTAAAACTATTTGTCATCGGCGTCACAAATGTAGAAGGCATGTGTTAACATGAGCCACAAGTCTGTGAGAACTATCCTCTAAGAACCTCTAGGGGGCACCAAAGAATCTCAAGGGAGTGAAACTACCGGAAAAAAAGTGCAAGTGTGGGATAACATCTAAACTGAGCTAACTGAAATGGAATGGTTTGATTTGTGAGGGAGGACGATGACTCCACTGCTGCATGAAGTAGGATTGTTATTATTTTTAAAAGATATTATTATTAAAAGATTGAAACAGAATTTAAAAAGAAATGAAAACTTCAGTCATGATGGTGCTTGAAGACTTTGTTGTCAGGGATGGAGACAGAGGCAACAGAACATCTCCTCTCATGGGTTTCATTTTTAGCTTTTCGCCTTCCAAAAAAAGTTTTTTTTTAAAAACCAAAACGTGCATGAAAACAGAACACTCTCATTTCCCCAGTCCATACGGCAGCATCATGACTATTATTAAATGATGTTTCACATTTGTGTTCAGCCAGGACTGAACCTGTCAGTGTAAATGAGCGGTTTTGTGTTGATCTGGGTAAAACCACACGTTTCCTGTTGTCGAAAGCTGCTGTTCGACTGTTAGAAACCAGACCAGTGTTTCAGCCACAGTCAGTGCTGCAGATGAGTTCCATGTTCTCTCAAGAAAAAGATTCAAATCAGAAGATTTGATTTTCTGCCTGACTAAACATTAATTATTTATTCATTTCCAGTCTAAACATGTGGGAACACAAACAAGTTAAGACACAAACGGGCCGATGTGTAAATACTGCAAATTAGTTACAGCACCACATTGTGGTCACAGTAGGTGCTACAAATAGTGTTGCACAAAAAGGCAACAAAACAGAACTTGTTTCTTTACGTCGTTAGCTGTGTCGAGGAGAGCAACATTCTCTGAGTTTGGACGGTTTTCTACAACTACAAGGACATCAACTTTTTTCAAAACGTCTTTAAAAATCCACAAGTATAAAATAAATATATTCAACTGAGCTAGAACTTGTTTCCACCCCATCTTGTCTTCTACAGGTTGAGCTGCATGTTCATCTTGATGGAGCGATCAGGGTTCAAACCATTCTGGACGTTGCAAAGTAAGTAAAGCTACTTTTTACTATTTTTTATTCTTTAGTGTTAGTGTTACAGACCTGTTTAGAAAAAGATTCTATTTCTATGTCAGACTCAAACTGGATAAACTTGATATGGTAAAATATACTGACAAAATTTCCACATTAAAAAAAACAGATGGTTTACAAGCTAGCTAACTAGCTGGCTCGATGGCTAACCAGCAAGTTAGCTAGAAAGATAGCTATCGAGCTAGCATAGCTAGCCAGATATGTAGCTAACTATGGCTTCAAGTTGAAGCAATTCATTTAAATGTTTCAATTTCTCAAAATATATCTGCACCTGACACAGCAACACAATGTTTAATTCAGAGAGCAGCCATATTCATTTGCAACTAACTTGACATTTTGAACGATAAAGAGAAATATCTGCTCCTACTCTAACGTTTTTCTTCGTCTCTTTTCTTCGTCCCAAACTTTATTACTATCCTGTGTCCCTGGTTATGCTACTTCATAAATGACAGGAAGTTGGTTGTATTTAGCGTAAAGTGGGTCAGAATGAGAGCTGATTAAATCCCCATTGTGGAGTTATTTGACCGAGAACCCAATGTCAATAACCACATTCCAACCTGTCAAAACTCGGTTTAAACCAAGTTTGAGTGTTTCCTTTTTTACACTGTGTAAATGAGGAGAGGGTGGGGGGGCAGGGGGGAGAGTGGAGTTTCATAATGAAACTGCTTGACCTTAGACCTGAAAGCAACAATGCGGTTGAGAGAAAGGAACAGAGTGGGTAAGGGATTCTTTTTGTTCTCCGACATAATGCTGTTTTAGGCCTGATAAAAAGAGTTCTTATTTTTGCATTCAAAAATAAGAACTCTTTTGTCAGCACTTTCTACATTATATAAGCGGCAAAAAAAACCCACCAATCTATTGTTCCAAAGCCAGGGTTAGTCAGAGATGCACAGATGAATTGACAGTAATAGAAGCAGAACCTCAAAGGTCAAGTCAGAAGATGTTCCTACTTTTGCAAATTTTAGGGAAATGTTTGCTGTGTTGTTTGGGGCAGAAATGAGTACCAACTCAGTAGTGAGGGCAAAAGCCTGTCATTAAGTCAGTAGTGAATGTGTTTTTACTTCTAAAATGAATTTACAATGGAAAGTGAATTGCGACTTGTTTGATCTGAATATTTAGGTTTATATTTATGTACATGCAGGAACAGTAGACCAGTGTTTCCCAAACTTTTTTTCTGGGGACCCATAATTTAAAAGTCACAAACCTCCACGACCCAAGTCAACAGACATTATTCGTAAACTCCTGGGAAACATGATACGAGACGACCCAAAAAATATATAACTCTTGCGACCCTCCTAAGGCTCGCGACCCAGCTTTTGGGAAACAATGCAGTAGAGTATATGTTTTGGAACAGTAATGGTAGACTGCTCGTTTGTTTTTTTTACATATGAATTTTTGTAGGATATCATTCAATATTATAATACAATGTATTCATTATAATAATAATATACTATACAATATACTACACTACATGTACTATATATGTAATTATACACATATATATATATATATATAAATTGTTGTTTTTTGTTTTTTTTCTTCCAGAAAATAGATCAACTTAAATCACCCTGAAAACCCACTTGAGACTAATTAAATCACTGTCCCTGAATAAACTCTTTTTTCCCCCCCGTAGGAGACGCCAAATCTCTCTCCCAGGAAACGCCAAGGAGCAGATGACGTCAAGAATTATTCTCACAGAGCCTTCCACCCTCACCGGCTTCCTGCACAAGTTTACTGAATATATGCACGTGGTGGCGTAAGTGCTGACATCTCATTTTCAGTTTATCTCTTTCACAGTCATTAAGGTGTTTACTGGTGGAGCAGGTGAGGAGGAGTCCAAAGGACAGGGTTTGAGTGACTGAGGGGGAACATTTACAGCGAAGGTCAAAATCCAGTCAGGCGGCTTATCACACAATGTCTTTATGAGTTGACTCTGGGGTCAGCTTCAAATGATGGACGTGAAACAGGAAAACAGCATTAATGAAACTGGCCGTCACCACGGAGACCAGATCCCTGAGGAGACTTGGTCCAGGAACACCTTTCCGGTGTCATTCTGTTTTATATTAAGTCCTTCATTGACGGAGCTGAACTGTTTAGAAAAGACCAAATACAGTCTTTCAGACACTCGACAGCCGTCAAGTGTTTCCACAATAGCTGTCTGCGGTGGAGGGACTGCAGTGGACGGTCGTGTTGAATGGAAGCCTCTGTGTCAACGCTCCTGAAAAGCAGCGCAGCTTGAATACCACTGGGAACGTAGCGGCTGAGTTGGGCTCATGCGGAATTATTGTAATTTGTATATGTGTCTGTGGAGGTGCAGCCTCCGGAACGACGACCGTTCAGAGGGTCGGACGTCACGTGACAGGACGGGACAAAAACGTACCGCTGAGCATCAAGGAGAGAAAAAAAAAGTTTTGTTTTGAAACAAACACTTTTTCATCATGGCACGTTCATTCAGATAATACAATAAATACTCAAATTGTCAACAGTGAAGAAGAAGGAGATGAAGATGATGAAGGTGATGAAGTAGTAGAAGAAGAAAAAAGATGATGATGAAGACAGAGAGGAAGATGAAGCAGAAGAAGTGAACAGAGAAGAACAGGGAGAAGGAGATGGGATGGGGTTTGACCCGTCGTCTACCTCTGATTACTAATTCATATATTGCCTGTTTCAAAAGTCATCATGCAGATAAAGTCAGGGTGGAATGATGGTCTCATTAATTATTACTTAGATTAAATTTATCAGCGTCAGAGGGTGGGGTTCACACAATCTGTGTTTTCTCTCCTGTGTTTCAGTGGCGACAGAGAGGCCATAAAGAGGATCGCCTACGAGTTCGTGGAGGACAAGGCAAAGGAAGGAGTGATTTATGTCGAGGTTAGATACAGCCCACATTTTCTGGCAAACACCAAAGTGGAACCTATACCGTGGAACCAGAAAGAGTGAGTCTTTATACGAGTGGCTGCCACCTCGCTGCGCTGTGCTGCGCTTGAAGAGATGGAAAAAAGACTCTTGACTGACGCTGGTTTCTCCACACAGAGGAGACCTGAGTCCAGATGAGGTGGTGGATTTGGTCAACCAGGGCCTGAGCCAGGGGGAGAGGGCCTTCAATATCAAAGCCAGGTCCATTCTATGCTGCATGCGCCACATGCCAAGTAATGAACTGTTCCTGCTTCTGTTTGCCAAAACCTCCGTATGAGATTAGGTTTCTTTGAACTGTTTCTGCCCCGACTCACATGTTCAATCATGAGCAGGAGCGCCAGTGACCACCACCATACACTCAGAGTGATTTTCTTATTACGACATGCACAACAACCTCCATTTTGTAGCTTTGTTGTTCAGTGAAAATCTTCTGACTCTGACTTCATTTTTAGTTTACAGTGAACAGTGAGGGGAGGTCGAAAAGTACTACAACATAATTGAAAGTATTTCTAGAATATATAGTCTGTAGCCTGGGAAAAAAAACATGGATTTAAACAATTTCAAGAATTGGTATTCAAGAAAGATGATTTGCAAAAAAAACAAAACAAAACCTAACAATACAGCTGCATTAACATACTTAACCTAAATCATGACCTGAACCAAGACCAAATACACTTTCCATGATCAATTCATATTTGGTTGAAAATGCGACGCTTTCTTTGATTTCTGAGGACCAACGACCAATTAATAGACTTCGGTCTAAAAGTCAGTGAATATTTGGAAAATAAACCACTTTCAATGAGACTTAAAGAGTTTAAAAACAACAATGGTAAACACCAGTGTTAGCAGCTGTTCCATTCACTCAGTCAGTCCATGTGCATCAGCAGCACTCTCCACCTGTGATGTAGCTAATCTGCTTCACCATTTCACCACCACTTCATCTCACTGAAGACGCTGTAATACCCATGCATGGTCATGTGTGTGTGTGTGTGTTTGAGCTGACAGAAATAAACTACACAGTAACACAAGCCCTCTTCCAAATGTGCAGGCTGGTCCATGGACATCGTTGAGCTGTGTAAGAAATACCGTCAGCAGGGAGTGGTGGGCATAGATCTGGCAGGTGATGAGTCGCTCAACTGTGACGGCAACCCAGATCACAGGAAGGCCTACGAGGTGAGAGCGGTGACATCAACAGAAAACTGCAAAAATAATAATTGTCAAGGTCATAATGTTGGTGGAAGGTCATGTTATTTGGAAAGAGTTTGATTCCACGATGTGTGATATGTGAAGACCACCCACATCGTTGTAGTTTTTGTTCATTATAAGAAGTTTTGCTCATCAGTAATATATTTCTTTAAACTTCACACTGAACTCTGGGTAAAATCTAATCTACCAATTAATCTTACACTTGCACCGAAAAAGCGTCTAAATAATGTGATTGGGTTTTTTTTTTCTTTCAGCAATTGTTGATTAAATCTGAGGCCTTGGCACCAAGTAATCGATTTTGCCAGTCAGCGTGTAATGAATGAGGGAGATTAATCAGTTACTACTGCGCAGCACAGGGAGCAGTCGACTCTGAAATGAATTGTATTGATCAGTAAATGTGTGTGTGTTAAATGATGTGTTTAAGTTCTGTTGTGAGAAAAGACAGGTTTGTTTCAGACTTGACAATGGCACTTGGTTACAACATTGTGTAAAGTGTTATATTCATTATATTCTTTACAGCTTCAGCCTGTTTGACAGGGACGTTAAAATACGACCAGTCAAAAGTCATTGGTAAAAACAGGCTGTTGGTTAATCATTTACTGACAGGCCATAAAAATGCAGGGTGATGTCGTGCTGGTGGTTTATATTAGGTATAGTATTCAAAACCTTCACTTGCAGAATGGTCATATTTTCATTGACCTTTTTTCAAATATTTCTTTGCTGCCATAGAACCATTATTATTTCATAGAACCATCGCTAGCTCTAGCAAAGTTGAGAATTTTGACTAGGGATGTCCGATATTATCGGCCCAATATTATGATATATTATATTGATATAGTCCAATACGGTCCTGAGACATTTACCTCAGTTTTGGGGGCTAACGGCTGCATATCGGTTGATATCGGAATCAGAAGTGTTTGGACAATATCGACGTATCGGATGTCGGAAAAAGTTAATATCGTACATCCCTAATTCTGACCATCATAAATTTTTAAAATGAACTTCCAATGACATCAGTTAGCCAAACTGAGGGAGCAGAGTCCACGCAGCATTAAGGTTTATCTTTACAAATGAACAGCCAGTTTAAATGCACCTGCAGATAAAGCCGGCAGCAGTCGGTGCATTCAAGGCCAGCAGCGATAGAAAGAACGCACGTGGACGGCCTTATCACTGTTTACTTTACAGTTTGTGGAGTAGTAAACATGCCTTCACTCAGTGGAAGTTATTCAGTGTTTTCATTCTTCATGCCTGATGTGATTTTGTTGGCAGGAAGCCGCACGCTGTGGGATTCACAGGACAGTACACGCAGGCGAGGTCGGTCCGCCCTCCGTGGTGAGGGAGGTAAGCTGCTCAACAGGAACATGAGACATTTTTAAACCCGGTGCTGACATCATCTGAGAAAGTACCTCAGGAAACAGTTGGAACCGAAACAATGGAATCAGGCAGCAGAAATAGAACAGGTTTTAGGCCGAGAGTGTTTTACAATTGTTCGCCTCAGATTATTTTGGATTAGACTGGGAGTGTGTTTGAATGTAATTATATGGTTTCACATGGACGTGTGAGAACATACAATAGAGTCTCAAAACATTTCCTGCTCAGTTCGTATTTCAAAGCTCGTGTCAGCAAAATCTTTCTGAACATCTGATTGTTTCTTCACTGATTCCTGTTTTATACAATAACACATAAAAGTGAACCAGTGGATTTAAAGTACATTGCAGTCCACTACTAAATATCATGCCCATGGTCATAGAGATAACAGCTAAATTATTACCTTTTTTGCAGTGTTTCACAAAAAATATAACAAATGAACTTTGACAGGCAGTCACAAGATGAAAACGTGACGATCTCATGACTGAAAAGGAAAAAAAATGCCAAAAATGTCTTAAAAAAAATAACAAGAAAAAATATTGCAGATCTAGTACAGCAGCTGTGCACGACAAGTCAATGGGTGGAGCCGGCGGATATGAGAAGTGTTTGGAGGCTGTAGTAAAGTATAAGAAGGCTCTGTCATGGTTTAGGGCTGCGTTAAGTTGTGTTGAGAACTTTTAAAATTCAGGTAATGTAAATGAGACCTGTGCAGGATCAACAAATGACAGTAGTGCAGAGTATAACAGAAACAGCAGCAGCCAACGTCAGTGTTAGGGCTAACTCTACAGAAGTGATTGGTACGGAGCCTCAGGAAGTGAGGAAGTGAAGAAGCAACAAATGTCCAACATCTGTGGGATTCATCAAGTTCCACTAAACTTTGGAAACATCAGGGGACTGGGATTTCTTTCTCCCTGGGATTACAAAATGTGTTCATGCTGCAACAAATATTGTTTGGAAGCAAAATCTGACAACAAAATGAGAACTGAATCTAACGCACCCTTCATCTGAGTTTAATTCTCAAGAATTAAAAAAACCACTAGCAATTGTCAGCAATACATGAATTATATATTTAAATGGAATGTCCCCATCATTTAATCACAACATGTTTACACTGCTAAAATAAAGCTGATTACTCTGCAGTCAAACCATTCCTCAATACCACCACAGCTTTTTTCTGCGTGCCACCATAAACAGGCTGCAGATTCTGCTGGCATCAGTGTTTACGGGCGGGACTGACATGTGACCCGTGGCTCTCATTTTAGGCTGTGGAAGTGCTGAAAGCTGAACGTGTTGGACATGGTTACAGGACTCTGGAGGACAGGGATCTGTACAAGAAACTGCTCGCTCAAAACATGCACTTTGAGGTGAGAGGGCGTCATGGGTTTTTAAGAAGAATCTGGAAGAAAAAAGATTGCTGCGTGAGCAGACAGAGGAACTGCACCGTTTTAATACATATTAATACTGACATTATTACAGACGACTGCACCACTTTAATCGTCACATATTAATACTGACATTATTACAGACCACTGCAGAAAAAATTTAAATGATTTTATGGATCCAACAATAAATCACCGGGTCGATTTTCATTCTAAGTAGTGACACAGTGACCCCTAGCGGACGGCTGGAGTATGTTAATGTTTGAGGTTTCCCTCTGCTGTCTTCATTACAGATATGTCCCATTTCCAGTAGACTGACAGGAGCCTGTGACCCAGACTTCACGAAGCATCCAGTCATCACGTGAGCAGCTTTAACCCAAGGATCAACCTGCGTCACAGCAGCTCAACGCACCTGCACTGTGTCCTTGAATGTCATTGATTTCTCTGCGCAGGTTCAGAAAAGACAAGGCTAACTACTCCCTAAACACAGACGACCCTCTGATCTTCAACTCCTCCCTGCACCTGGACTACAGCACCGCACAGAAGTACATGGGCTTCACGGAGGAGGAATTCAAACGACTGGTGAGATCAAAACGACGTTAGGATAAAATGTTCACAGGTGAACAGGGAGTGTCGAGGTTATGATCTAGTGCTGGTCAAATCTTTATGGTAATGTTCTAATAAGCTAAAACACAAAGAAAAAAAACTCGGACACATGGAGGTCAGACAATGTTTTGATGACTTTTCAAAATGAACCATGCGGTCTAACTTCAATTGAAACTAATCAAATTAAAAATGTTATTCTGTCTGTGTGGCCCAGTAAAACATGATCCACGACCCGATTCTGGTCCCCAGCCCCATGGTTGGAGACCCCTACACTTAAGTTTTGTTAAAAAATGAAATTTAATTTAAAATAACGACACTTTCCTTCAGTCGAGAACAACTGAAAAGGCTATATATTTATTTATATTAAGTTACTGTTTGATGGATTCTAGCCTGACTATTCATTAACTTCTCTGTGCGTTGATGTTTCATAGAACATCAAGTCTGCTGAGTCCTGCTTCCTACCTGAGAATGAGAAGAAGGAGCTCCTCCATAAACTGTACGATGCCTATGGGATGATACAGAGCACCGCCTTTTAAACCCGTGAAGACGTTCCGAAGAGAAAACGCCAACAGAACCAGGGACGACTCACTCTGACTCCAGGGAACGTGTTTTTTACTCTTTGGTAACCAGCATAAAAAGTAACTACTCCAAAATGGTGTCTATCAAAGTTACCAGCTTTACCTCACATATCAGTACACCATCAACATAAGGGCTTTTATCTGTCTGGGTTTTTTTTATCTAAGTACTAACAAAGCTTAGGTTCATATGGGACTCTTCTGCCATGATTTTCTGCATGGAGTTAAAAAATACTTTAAAAGCAAATGTTTCATATCAGAACTCCTAGTCCCGTGTACGTCATGTTTAATGTTTACATTCTAATTCTCTGAAGAGAATCAGGGAACCTTCCGGACTCATTCAACTCTGTCACAGCTTATACATGGTACGCTACAAACATTACTGAAAAAGTGATGTGAAAACATGTGAAAATTGTAGCAGTGCGGGCTTTGAACTTATCACCACCTGGAAGGATATTATTTTACTTTGAATTCTCAACTGTTTAGTGAAATCTGAATACGAAGGGAATTGACTTTCCCTTAAGTAAAACACAAGTGCCATTTCACATCAGGTACCGACAGCTCAAAACCAAAAGAATGTAGTCTTTCATTCGTACACTAGGTGGCACACTAACGCCACTGAGCTAGGCTGACCACTTCGTGTGGTTCTAAAGTTGAGATTTGCTCTACGTTCACTTCATGTATATATTTATTTAAAAAAATATATGTTTCATGTCTCTCAAAGGAACAAACAAACAAACACTTTATAGCGGATACTTTCACACTGACACGAAATTCAATAAAAGTTATAACCAAACGTTTCTTCATGTCTGGACTGTTTTTCCATAGTGTACGTTTTTACTGTAAAACTATAAACATGTACAGTGACGTCAAGCAAATACCGTCAACCATTTTCTACAATACTCACATGAAAGGACGGGGACGAAAAGTTAAAGTAACATGAACGAAATGAACGGTAACAACCCCGGCGGTTATCAGACAAAGATGGGCTACTCCTACGAAGAGTCTTTAATAAACACACAACTACTCTGCTTGTTTTAGGAATACTATTAAAAAGTAAAACAGTTTTCGCTAACTGTTTGCTTTCCTGTTCACCACCTTGGCTTCGTTTCTGCCCAATGTTTTGTCATCTTTTTATCTACTTCTGCCTCACCTCCACAAACAGCCGTCCGTTTCCTCCACTCCTTGGATCAATACACTCTGCCTTATGTTGAAGTAGCTGTCTATGCATTTGGATTCACAGGAACTCTCAGCAGACTGCAGCAGCCTGTCAGTCAGTCAGTCAGTCAGTCAGAAATACAGAACACAGCAGAGCTGGAATGGTGGCAGAAATCAGGATTGACAGCTGTCATGTCTGATGTGATAAAATCATGTCACCCAGGAGCCATAACTCAACAGAAGGTGACCAACATTTTTCTGGATCAGAGGACAGTCTGAAAAAAAAAGGAAACCCAGCCCCAGTGTGGGCATCACTGTGAATTGGTGTGTGGTTATATTTTTTTAAATCTGTACAAACCACACTGAGTTGCTGCCACCTAGTGACCGGAGGCTTGTTGTCATTTAAGCAGAACAGCAGTGGTACACTTATGCCCCCCCCAATTTGAGAAGTACTGGGTAGATATAAATAGAATAATAAAAGGTTCTGCAGATAAGGTGCAGTCTGTGTGTATAAACAGAACATGAACTGTGGAGCAGTGAGGAGTGAGGAGTGTGATGTGGGTGCAGATGTAAACACCAGCTTCCTCTGGACATCCTAATGTTCACCTACTCTGTTCCAGTCAAACATGCAGCTCTGGAACAACTCAGTGTTGGTAACACAGCCAGACTCGTAAATCTGAGTTTGGCTGGGACTCAATGTCTTCGCACCTAAAATTAAAAACAACAATAATCTGTGGATAATTCATAAGTATTTTATTACACAAAGAAAATTGCTATCACAAAGTTATCACTCAACATTTAGCAATAAATATGAAGTCCCTACATGACAGTATAATGTCATCTATGTTACTGAAAAGGACAAAGAAACTGAACAACAGGGTCACAAACACACACACACACACATACACATACACACGTACACAGAGTACAAAGAAGAAAAGAAAAAAAAACGACACACAGATGGTTATGAATAAACACTCCATTAAACAGTCCCATGTTAGACTGGAACACGGTTCGAGTGGTGAGTGTTATAAAGCAGTTCAGTTCAGCTCGGTCCAGCTACACAGAAGCTTCTGTGCTTTCTCGTCTCCCGGGAACATAAATGACAAAGAGAGTATGGAGCAAAAGCGCAGCATCTCAACTGTCGGACAGTTCTACTCTGTTCTGTTCCTCACGTTACAATCACATCCAATAAAAAGGCAAACATTTAGAGCCGGGCTGCTCCAAACAAGCCGGCAGTGGGCAAAGATGTCATGTCTCAGGGTAGGACGACCAATATACACTCCTTTGATTCCACACTCGTGCCTCCTTGTCTCCTCTGCTTCCTTTCTAATCTTCTCTTCTCGTCACTTGCCCCTCCATCCATCATCAGGAGGAGTTTAGGAGGGTCCTCCACCACCCTGGGCATCTTGGCTGGTGGAGCCCTCAGCCTCAGGGGCTGGGGTGGCCCCCGGCTCGCCATCTGCTGGTAAATATGTGAAACAATATGTACAAAAAAATTAGTCAATGTAATTGAATCAGGCTGCCATGTCTTAACATAAGGAAATAAATCTGCTCCCACGATAAATAAGTAAATAAATGAAATCTGCAGGAAGGAATTATGACTTCCTGTAACAAAACGGTGTCACTGTGATATGAGGTCATTACAAAAATGGACTCTTCCGTTAGATTCACTCTTTCGTTTGATTTACAGTGGTCAAAGTGATTATACTGTTGTTTTCTAGAAGAAGAGGAAGTCAGGAAGACTGGCAGTGGAACACACAATAGTCTGACGCGGGGGTGAGGGCGGGTGCGGGGGGGTCACGGACGTCATATTCAGACATGTTCCTCATAACAATATGACTCTACTGTGAGTAGAGGAAGCAATGACCATCTGCAGGTCCACAGGTCACTGTTACAGTCCAGGAAACACCAGCTGTCTCTGTGTGCAGCTTTAAACACTGATCATCTTTTAGTACAGCTGTGATTAAACTTTATTTATTTCCTCGTTCTCAAATAATTCTCAACAAAAAAGTGACCTGGTGAGGTGAGAAACGTCAACATACATTAGCATATTGGATGCTAATAACATAAACCCTGAAGATGCTAAAGTATTAGCCTAACACAGTAGCATTTTCAAACTTAATACAGTAGCATATTGGATGCTAATAACACAAGCATTAAATATGCTAATGCAACAAAATGAATCAACATCAACAATCAACAACATACTCACCGTTTCCACTCTTTCACTAATCACGTCTTCGTGATGAAGAGTGGCACTGGCGTCACTCTCATCATCACCAGTCCGTCTGGCAACGTGAGGCACTTCGGACGTAAGGTGACGCAAAACGCCTGATGTAGTCGCTCCACCTCATCTATTAAGGTCTCTTATGTTTAGACAAGCATGAGTTGAGGAACACTGAACTCTGCTCGTCCAAACATAAGAACCCTTACGTATATATAAATTTAAGTAATTTATTTTTTAGTATTTTTGTTTATATGTTAAGTTAGTATTGTTTGTCTTGCGATCTTCAGAAATAGCTCGAGCTAATGTCACACCAACACGTTTATTTTGCCGTCATCTTTCAGAGTCCTGTCTACACGTGCAGACGTCATTTCCATCATTGATTCTTGCCATGATATTAGGGTATAATAGACAGGGCTGCGAGAAAATATCAATGAGCCGAGTAAAACCTGAATCGCGATACGTATCATATCACCAGATTCTTGCCAATACACACCCCTAGTAACAGATAATACAGAGAGACAAGTGATGTTCTAGTCCAGATGTTTTAGACTAGACAGTTTCTGCCCAAACGAACTCCCAGAACTCCACGCCACATGACATTTCAGTCAAGGTCATCGGCTTGGTAGATGAAGAAAACAACTCCATCCACCTGTTATATACTGCTAACTCCCTCTGCAGGGTTGTGAGGAACTGGACCTGGGGTTCAGCTCTACAGTCCGTCACAGGGCAGAAATCACAACTTTTAGTAGCAAATAAAACCTCAGTGCAGTGTCGTCCTGCGAACCAAAATGACTCATCAAGTCTGTCCTGCTGCGTGTTCTCCAGCAGATTACTGCGGGCTGTAATAAAAATCTCTCTTCCTGCTGCTCAGCAGGCTTCCTGGACGTGTTAACACACAAATATGGTCGAGGGTTTGGTGTCTGTCAACGCGGACGTTGTTGGTGCTAGTGAGTTTTCGCAGAGAAGAACATGTCCACACAGACGGACGGAACAACAGTGCAGCGGGGAGCACAGCTTTGAGTTTTGTTATTTATGAATGAAATATCCCTTCAAACAATAGGAAAATAAAATACATATAAAATCTATTTATGAAGAATGTGACACAGATTACAAGAAAAAAAAACACCTGAGATGGTAAAAAACATTATTTTTCCTAATGTGACACAGAACACAACAAAAAAAAAAAAAACCTGAGATGGTAAAAAACATTATTTTTTCTGATTTATTGTGTGGAAAATTTTGTATATTGTGCACTTTAATTTTAAAAGACTAAAACACTGGTGTAGTATGTTTGTTAAAATACGTATTGATATAATTTTTGATACAGTATGTGTGTGACAATTTTTTTGTTTTCTATGTTAGATAGGTTTCTTTTTTGCTTTTTGCAATTTAAAAAAAACGTTTAAAAACATTTTTATTTTTGCTTTGTTGTTAATTATTTCTTTTTTGAAAACAACTAATAATAGTGTTGAATACTGTTGAATAATAGTCCAGTTAGATAATCACCCCACAACCACTACAAACAACACCCCCCCACTAGAAGGTCCTGCCCCCCCCCCAACCCTTTTATCTTACAGAGGACTGAGTGCTCCTCACACCAGTGAGTGCTGTACCAGTGGCATGTTGCATTATCCCCGGTGACATGTACTGACCTGCAGCCTTCAGGTCCATCTCTGCCAGGTCTTTGGTCAGTTCACTGGTGCTGGCCGTTCCGGTCTCCTCCCCAGTGATGTCCGGTACTGCGTTCCTGCGGCCTGTGCGATCACAGTTGATGAAGTCTGAGTACGACGTCTCCACGTCCATCATCTGTCCATGACCAGCGCTCTCATTACACCTGCCAACGAGGGGAGCAGATGTGAAAGAGCAGCGGAGGAAGTTGGTGAGAGAGGAAATGACATAATATCACACGGAAAAACTATATACAATGGTCCAGTGAAAAGAGGGTAATGTGTAAATGTAAGGAAATTAATAAAAAATAAAAAATATGATAAAAAGACACAATCCAAAAAAATAAGAAACAACACAGCATAGATAATTCAATGATAATTAACAGACAGATACATGCATATAAACGCTGGCGAGACTGAAAAGTAAAGGGTGAAAATTCCATCAAAGTTGAAGGTAAAAAAAAAAAAAAAGGACTCAGAAAATAACAACTATTTAAAGAAACTCTTGAATAATTTAGGTGTGAATAATTAATTATTTCTATTTTTTTCAATTTCACTGAGAATATTATAACACCCAGACGTATAATACAAAAGCATGGATTTGACATGGAGTTAGAGAAGCACAGATCAATGTGGGAAACCAGAGCTACTGAAGGTAATCCATTCAGAGGACGTGTCAAGCTGCTGTCTGCCATTTATTCCCTTTCGGTTTCCTGTTGTAAGTTCATATTAGAATAGGTAAAGGATCTGAAGAACGACTACTGCACCATACAACGAGTCAAGGCCTCAGCACAGAGAGAGGAGGCGAGAGGAGAAAGACTGGAAGGACAAGGAGGAAAATGTGCAGTAGGTGTTGGATTGTAAATGTCAAAACGGTCTCTTTTTTTCTGTGTCCTCTGAGTTTCTGAAGCATGACTGAATGCATTACACCCACAGATGTGCCTTTGTGAAAGAAGAAGTAGAAGAAAAAAAAACACTGAGCAGGAAAGGCTATGACTCAAACAGATCTCACAGCCGTCCTGCTCAGTGTGTGTGACCCAGAGAGGAAGCACCTCTGGTCACCAGCCGCACACGTGCCGTTTGGTGGAATGTGAAATCGGCGGCGGAGGGCAGACACCGTGGCACTCTGGGTAAAAACTGCAAACTCCCCGGGAAATGTCAGAGAGTTCCACGGAGTCTGTGGAGTTTACCTGAGCGATGTGGGCCAACACGGGGCTGAAGGTGACCACGGACACACACACATCCACAGCCCACCCTCATTAATGCAGCAGCTCACAGTGGGAGACCAGCGTGTCTCACAGCTCCATAATAACACCTTCTACCTTTCCTTCAACCTAAAGTGCAGCCATGTGATGTTGTCAATAATAACCAATTAGAGCTCAGGCCGCTGAAGGACACACTCAGCATTGACATTTCCCTTTAAACTGCCATTAGTTTTCCCTCACATTTAAATTAAATCCATCTAACCTCATGCTAATCTCACTTCTAATATCAAGAATCCTAATTACAGGTAAAAAGAAGAAAATGAAGACACTGCTTTTAATTTTCTTTTGCTTATTAGTTATCAGCAAAATTGTATCACTGAGTTTTGCTGTGTAAAATGAGGCTTATTTTTGATTTTGATTTTATTTTTTTGGAATTGTAGTTACCTTTTAAAATTAACTGTTGGAATTGTAGTTACCTTTTAAAATTATATTTTAATTTACCATACACCTGCACATACACATGCTATTTTGATTTTAGTTAAATGGTAATTTACCTTATTTCCTACCTTCTAACACCAGAGGGCGATGTTCATCATCATCTCATATTTGTTGTAGATTAATCAGCATGCTAGCTAATTAATGTGACCATTATCGGTGGAAAAACCAAACTTTTTTCCGAGTTCAAAATATAAATAACTGCAATTCAACTGTAAATGAGCGTAGCTAAAAGTGCGAGAGTGATTTTTTTTTTTTGGTCTTTATCCTGTCCCTGACTGCCGAACCTTCCATATCGAACCTCGGCTATAACCTTATCATTTACGTGTGAAACAACAAATTCAGAGATGCAGGTTTCGCAGCTACTACAAAAATATGATCAGCGTCGTTTCACAGGCAGAACCATGTACGGTTGAACTGAAAACCAGGATCAAGTGTAACTCCTGCAGCCTGGTTATCGTGTTTGCCTTTTCCGCTCCATCGACGCCGTCGTTATGCTGCTCATGGCAGCTCAGTCCAATTGCCATTTGTTTGTTTCATTAGCTGGTTTGCCTGCACTTGTTGAGCCAAACCTACCATGAGATCATTAACAGGTTTCCATGGAGGGACGGCTGTGGTGAGGATGATGATGAGCCTTCTGCTCCTCTGTGTCTGACTGCCTGGTTTCAGCTGTGACTTTATCTGCGTGAATATCTCTAAGTAGTAAAAAATAAATAATCAAACAAGCACAGCTGGGAAGCTGAAGGGTCGACGATTATAAAGAAACATCGATGACTTTGTGTGTGTTAAACCGATGTCGCGCACCATCATTAACTGGAAGAAATTAAATAACGTGTTTCACACACATGGTTTAAAATACTATAAAATATATATAATGTAGTCAGAGGCCAGGACCAGCACACATCCAAGCACTAAAAAAAAAAAAAAAACTTTTCTTTGGCTTTCTACTAGCACTAGCACAAATTAATAAGAAAAAAAAAAAGGAAAATAAGAAAGAAAAAGAAAACAGGGGGCAGCATCACACCATCTGTGCACTAATGACCAACTTAAAATGACTCACCCTCAATCTATGGTTTAATATTACGTACATTTAAATCTTGATAAATACTTCAGTCTCCTCAGTTTTACTGCACTGGTTCAGACTCAAAAAATCTCACAACCAAATCTCCTGATCTCATCCTCACAGTATGACCAGGAGGCTCCTGAAGTGCACGTCCTACTTAAAGAAAAAGAGAGTCTTTCTTGTGAGAGCGCAGCCTGTGGAGACGGCGGGAAACTCAACACAGCTGCCACTGAAAACACCACGGCGAGACAAATGTCACAGGTGTGCATTTTCACTCGAGACAATGACGAGTCAATGGTCAGAGGGAATTCACTGAGAATGAACTCAGCTTAGCCTACTGCCTTCTCCCCCCTCCTCACTTCCTCCCCTCTTCCTGCCGAACACGGTGTCAGATTGGATCATTTCCTGCGGTGACGGCCTTTGAAACGTCCCAGAGTCTCGAAAGGAAGGAAAAGGAACAAGCTCTTTTTGACAGCTTTTATTCTGCCAGGCAGCAAACTGGGACGCGTTACTCAGCTGCGCTTGAATCAACAGATTGTTTCAGCTTTAAGCAAATCTACCTCATGTTTAAAACGCTCCGAGTTTAAAACAGAACCAAACCAAAGGGTACGTCAGGAGAGAAGATGAATCAGGCCTTCTAGTGTTTTGACAGTTTCAAATATGGGGGGATTCTCTCAGAAAAAAAACACACTAATTCAAATTCAAGTGATTCCTTCTGTACTGAACAAATAAACCATGAGCTGCATTATCACATTAACACCAAACCACCACAATCCCACTGTGAATGAAGGCAGAGGCTGAAGTGCAGACGTGCGGCGCGGGATGAACGTCGGACAAGAATGATGTATGAGGAGGGCGTTTGGAATGGAGAGATGAGGGGAAGGAAAAACCCACAGTAATCACTGAGGGAATATGACTCAGCAGAGTCACTTACACTGTGCCCATTAGAGAGGCAGACTCACTGCCATCCCACTGGAGCCTTTTAGCCTGATTTGTGCACAATAATAAACCGGCATTATGAGCAATAAACAACACCAAGACCTGCTTCTTGGCTGATTTCAACTCTATTAGCGCTGACGACACGACCTGTTTCAACGGAACCTGCAGCACTTATTGACCAGACAAGAAGCCTCCACGTGAATGACTTTCATCTGCCTCACGTAGCAACTGAGGATTCCCCATCTGCCATTTCCAGTCTGGTTGGACGGTTATACGAGATGCTGTGAAAGCCGGGAAAGCAGCTCATATTCTTTGATGGTATTATAATAGGTACCAGTACCAGTAAGAGTTACAGTATTAAAGATTCAAATCCATGTTTATTTTATTTGGAAAATATAAGGCTGTAATGTTGTTTTTATGGCTTAGCCTACTTTGGAAATTGAAAATAAATTGACCTAAAATTATTTATTTCTAATTTTGCAATTATTATTTATTGATCTAACTAAGAATTAATATGTAATAATAATAATAATTAATTTAAACAGGATTTTACTAGTTAATTGTTTTCCTGACTAGGGATTCAAAAATTTGAATTTTTTATGTAGGTCATGAAAATTAACATTTAGTTTATCTTGGAGGATATTTAGCATATTTATGTATAGGGTGGATACTATTTTTTTGTAATATTTACAAAATAACAGAAAACTGGAAACCCAATTTGAAAAATGTTATTTTAATAGTTTTTGTAATTTTATTTAGCCTATTAGCCAAAAATTAGAGCTTCTGGTTTTGTTTACTCCATTGTTTTTATTATTCATTTTATGTAAAGTATATCAAACTAAATATAAAATAAAAATATCATCAAATAAATCTATTTTGAATCTATTTTTCCTCTCTTAAATGACCGGCATCAAATTTGGAATCACAGAAAGTGAATCATCAAACTGCAGTGAAAACATCACATTAAGGAATTAATACTAACCCTAATAAACAAAGAGCAGTGAAGTAACTGTGCCTAAACAATAAACAAAGAGCAGTGAAGTAACTGTTCAGATGAAGAGATGATCAATGTCAAACTGTCTTACCGCCGACTTCAGAGCTCAGAGTTCTGTTTCAGAATGAACTCCTCCTGATCCACTGATCCACCCGATCACCCGGTCCTCAGTGTTTCACTCTGTGTATCACAGCAGCATTGTTCCTCAGCTCCCTGCTCTACTGATCACAGCCTCCCAGCCTCATCAAATATGGTCTGGACACTGTCAGTTCACATGATGTCAGCAGCGGCCTAGTTGACAACAAAGCCCAGTCCAAACACAGGGGAGCCATATTTCCTCGTCGGTTACGTTGTTGCTCGTCTCCCGTCTACCTCTCATAAATAAATAAAAGCCTTGTGCGTTGAAGTTTGGTGAGTACACTGCGCTGGCCCCATATTCCCCCTGTACTAATGGGACTCTGGAAGGGTGTG